GGGGAACTGCCTTGAGCCGCCCAGGCCACTGGGGACCCAAAGGGGACACAGCTCCTGGGTCAGTGGTCCTCAGAGCAGGCACACAAGCTGCAGCTCCGGCAACGCTCCTCGTGCCTTCCCCTCTGTCCCCGTGCTGATGGCCATGGCCTTCCCCACACGTGGGAGGACAGAGACCTTCAGACACGTCTTGGGATCAGTCCCACGGACACCAGCCATCACCCATGGAGAGAGACCTGACTCAGAGCCGGAAGCAGGCTGGTGGTGCATGGACCAAGAGAGGATCAAGAAAAGCCCCCAGGCCAGCATCACTGGTCCCCACTCCCAAGTCAGCCCCGGCCAGTGTTGTCCCAGAGCCCACAGGAGAAGGAGTGGTGCCTGAGAGAAGGTCCAGCCTCCCAAGGGGGTAAAATCCCTGCAAATACTTCATTTCCCAGAAATGTGCTCCCAACCAGCTGTGGCTATGCTCCTAAAGCCAAATCTGCTATGTGAGGCAGGAATGTGGGCAATGAGAGCAGAGAGGACAGCATCACCTCCACCAGAAGAGCCAAGCAGCCCTGGGGCTGTTCCTTGGGAGAAGGGTAAGCAGAGCCGGGTGGCAGCAGGCTCCAGGCACGGGATGGGATGGGATGGAGAAGATGCAGCTTGCCTCTGCCTGCTTTTCCCAAGGGGCAAGAGGAAAACACTGCTCCACGTTTCTAAAGCGACAGCACATTAGGGGCACAACCACAGTGTGAACAAATAATAACAATAATGCCAAATTACTGCAGACAATTTCTGCATATACCATCTCATTCACCTGTGGGATCCTGTGCCCCGAGGTGGTACCAAAATCGTGAACCAAGCAGGAACCAGCAGCAGATTAAATGTCTCAACAGACATTGAGAACACACGGAGAGCTACACTAGGCAAAGTAAACATTTACAAGTGATACAAACTCTCACGCTCCAAGGCATAAGAACCATAGAAACATTCAGGTTGGAAAAGACTCTTGGGACCACCAAGTCCAACCTATAACCCCACTCTGCAAAGCTCACCCCTAAACCACCTTCCCCAACACCATATCTAAACGACCTTTAAACATCTCCAGAGAAGGTGACTCAACCACCTCCCTGGGCAGCCTGTTCCAGTGCCTTACTGCTCTTTCTGTGAAAAATTTTTTCCTAACATTCAGTCTAAATCTACCCTGTTGCAGCTTGCGGCCATTCCCTCTAGTTCTACTTGGCAAAGCGCTCCTCTCCTTGTCGTAGGACATCGGGTTTGTCCCTGTTGGATTTCATGCTCTTGCCTCAGCCCTCATGGTGCCTTCAGGTCACAGCCCCACCATGGAGCATGCTGACAGCGCTCCTCAGCCTGGCAACACCTCAAACCCTGACCATGTGTGCTCCTTCCCGGTGCTGGAGATTAAAATAGCTTACTTGCAGAATATTAGAATTAATGGTGGTATTGCTTAAAATTACAATGAACTGAAACTTGTTTTGTATTATGAGTGACATTGTTTAGAACGAGTAGACAGATTTACCGAAGCCTTAGGTGCAGACTGGGGACTTTTACCCAAGTACTGATCAGCTCAGGCTAAAGAAAGGTCCAGAAACCAATGCTAAGTGAGAACGATAAGACCAATAGAAACTGCAACCTCTAGTTAAGAAAAGAATGCCCACCTGGAGAGAGAGAAGGGCTCCAGTGAGGAAGGAGCAGACCCCACAGCCAAATATTAGTGTGAGGTGAGGTGAGCTGGGATTGTGATGGTGGAATTGCCGGGGGATTTCTGTCTTCTGGGTCCATCTCGGGGGGTCCCAGCTCAAGCTGGAATAACCCGACTCTGTGGCAGAACGCAGGGTCCGAGCTCTTCTTTACAGTCGGGGCTGAGCCTGGATCCAGCGGCACCGAGACTCCTCTCCCTGAGGAAGCTCAGAGAGCAAGGGGGTCCAGCCTGACCCTCGCCACTCAGCAGGAGGGTCTTCCCGGGCTCTTCTGGAACACCTAATTGTGGGTGAAGATGCTAACAAGGACAGGAACCTGCAGTGCATGCTACCACCACGCCCCTGCAGCACAGCATCAGCCACCACCTCCAGGCACGACCACCTGACCTGCTTTTTGCCCATCTGTCTGCCCATCCATCCGCCCCGTAGCATTTCTGTGCTGCCGTCAGGGCACAGTGGTCTGCTGCAACCCCAGCACCTCTTGAGAGAGCTCCTCTGCGTGGTGACAGCCACCAAAGGGCAGGAGAAGCATGTGGGGACAGTGAGCTGGAGAGAGAATGCATTTATGGGAGCCCCAAGTGATGCCAGCTCTCGGTTCCTAAAGCTCTGGATTGAAATCAAAGCCATGTGTTTGCTTGTTTGGTGCCTTTAGAGAAAAGTATTTGATTAATTTATTCTCCAGGTCACAAGTCCGCATTTACAAGCTACACTAAAAAAAAAAGGAAATACCCTGTTCATGCACAAGCCTGTTTTTGCTGGGAGAGCAGGGAGGAGCTCGTACCAGGCACGGGCATGCAGCGGGGACAGGCTGCTCTGCGGAGAGGCAGGACCCAGGGCTGGCACGGCAAGAAGCCTCTGCTGTTCACATGAGGCTGGAGAAGAGACAAGCACAGAGCAAGAAGCTTAACCCACACAGGTCCTGCTTCCATCCTGAAAACACCGGGAAGCGACGGTCCCTCCGTCCCTGGCAGCATGGCGAGGGACGGGTCTGCCCACGACAGCGCAGGCGATGGCAGCAGCAACAAGCATCCAACAAAACACTGCCTGTGTCTTATTGTGTCTACATTTCTCCCACGCCTCTAAGCACTTAACTCACACAATTACTTAATTACAAGCAGAAATCCATGGCTAATGATGAAAAACCTTATCAAGGATGCACATTTCTAGCAGAGGCTCTGAAAACTACAACAAAGGCAAACACAAGTTGTGAAATGAATCCCTGAGGGCTGGTACCACAAACATGAGCCCTTGCTCGGGCACAGAGCACCACCAGCCTCTTGGGTGCTTTCCCTAGCGAGGCTCTGGAACTGGTCCTCCAAAGTACAGGAATCTGAGGATTGAGAAGGTATTTTGGATGCTAGTTAGCAAATTCTCACTTAAATGAGAAGGAGAACCTACAGGAATTGCAGCTGACCTTCACACTAGCTGGAGCAGAAGGTTGTTATTAAAGGAACCAGTGAGAGAAGCACTGCAGTTACTCAATATAATGGGTCACACAAGCCTATGTGTAGTTAAAAATAAAAATCTATTACTCAGGAAAATCAGCTCAGATGACTCTACATCACCCAAACCCTCACTGCCTCTCCTCTGGCCAAGTCCCACATTGTGTGGTTCTCCCACCCCACAGTGAACATCCAGTAACCCCCCAAAAAAGAAGGAAGAGCAAGTATTCCCCTCAGATAGGGAAAGGACTGGGGCTCTCAGCTGGATTTTTGTTGAAAGGTGCTTGGAAAGAAGACGGAGATTCCCCAAAGCCTCTAAATCTCCACTTTCACCAGGAACGATGCATCGAACACAGCCGGGTTTCAGATGTTCACTCCCAGCAGGAGGATGCCCCTGGAGCAAGGAGGGCTCAGGGCATCAGTGAAGAACTGGACTGGGGCAGGAGAGGACCTCTGCGTCCCCAGACATGGACATGACCAACCCAGTGTGCTGCTCCCCAGGCTTCCAGGTGTGATTGCTAAGGAGACGATGGAAGTTTGGGTCCTCACCTGACGTGGGCAGTCAGGCACACCATCGCCATTGGGCCGGGCTAGCTGAGGACCAACAAACGTGTCTGTATGTTTGTGCGTCCACGAGAAACAGCCTGAAACAAGGACCAAACCTCATGCTCTTGTTGAACAAGATTTGCTTTCAAGGGTGTGCTTTTTATTCTCACTTCTCCCAAAACGCATTGAATACCTTCTCAGCAGCAATTCCCAAGGTTACATTTTATGGGTAAAACTGTTCCTACACAACCTATGATCTAACTTCCACACTCAGTTTCTCCCTGCAACGCACACATGAAATGGCTGATATCTTCTCAACTCCTCACTCTTCTGGTAGAACCCAATTTGCAGGATATAATCAAGGCTGGTAATAACGCCTAATCGAGAAAGAGCCTGGGCATCCAATAACAGCTTTTGTCCCACTTTCCTATTACGAACATTTTTTTCGAAATCACCACCTCCTTGAGACACGTGATTACAAGTGAGACTCCACTCTGGGGGATTTTCCTCAGTAACCCTCTGACCTGGCTGACTCCAAGGAACTGTCCAGCACACAGTTTCTGCCAAATGGCACCGATCACTGTGGAGCTCCAAGAGGAGAAGGAAATTAAAGAAATACAGAGTCCTGATGACAACTCAGCATCCCCCAGGGGTGAGCTGGATGGGCACATTTTGCACAGAGAAATGATAAGACAAGGGCACGTCCAGCCCCACCAAGGGCCAGCAACTTCATCACTGGGATGCGATGTGGCCAGAGAAAAGAGTTGGGTTAGATGGGAAGAGCCTTGCACAGGGCTGGAGTCACCGTCACAGAATCACAGAATCAATCACAGAATCACAGAATGTTCAGGGTTGGAAGGGACCTCGAAAGATCACCCAGTTCAAACTCCCTGCCAGAGCAGGATCACCCAGAGTAGGTTATACCCTGGAGGGGTTTAGAAGCCGTACAGATGTGGTGCTCTGGGACATGGGTTAGTGGTGAACTAGCAGTGCTGGGTTAACAGTTGGACTCGATGGTCTTAAAGGTCTTTTCTGACCTAAACAATTCTAAGATTCTGTGATCCCCAGGCTCCACAGAAGGGAAGCTGGGAGCTCTTCCAGCATCCCAGCACAAACTGTTTGCTCTGGCAGCCCACAGGCTGGATCACACAGGACCACTCAGCCTTCCCTTCCCTTCCCTTCCCCTCCAGCGTCACAGAATCTGCCTCGCGCTCGCCTTGGCACAGAGGATCCACACGCTCCTCCTGCAGCGCTGTCTTTTCCTTCTCCTTTTGCTTCATTTCCCCCCTTCCTCCCCGATTCGAAGACTCACCCGGCACCATTCCTGTCAGTGCGGGAGCGGAGTAGCTGCCCTGTCCGGCGGGAGGGACATGCGGGGGGTATCCTGGGAGGGTTGTGCTTGCCAGCTCGCGACCTGAGGAATCAAACCAACAAATCACCACGTGAGCATCACGACGAGACAACGCGGTTTTACATCTCCCTGGGCGCCCAGAACACAGCCATGCATTTGTCATCGCGGCTCGGCCAGGGCCAGCGTGGGATTTCCAGCCTGGCAGGGAGGGGGGATGTCCAGCCTGGCAGGGCGGGGAGGCATGGCTCTGCTTGCTCTATAAGCTGCCACTCAGCTCCGACAAAGTGAGAGACGAGAAGGGGAAGAGCAGAGCTCCACAGGGAGTGGAACGTGCCCGCCTGAACTCCGGCTGCCCACCCCTATTCCCAAGTTACTCCCAAAGCTCAGATTTGTAAAGTCAGAAAACAGCAAAATGTGAAATAACACTGATCTTAATGACACTTTCCCCAGAAAACTCTCTGGAAAATCACAGTGCACGGGCTGATGGTTTGCAGAGACCGAAATACCATGCATGACACTGTTTTTACCTCTTACTAAAGCCAGCTAAAAAAAAAAAAACAACAAAAAACAAAGACACAAACACAGAACACTGAGACGCGAAGACAGCCTAAAATACAGTTTCTGTGGTGCCAGAAGGAACAGATCCAAAGACACCGCCTGACGTGGTGCGCTTTACTCAGATCCAAGAAACAGGTCTTTTTATTCAAACACCCATAGGTCTCCCATGGAAACGTCCGCACAGAAAGAAGGCAGCGGGGCATCCCCCCTCTCGCTCTGAACCAGGGGCTGTGGGAAGCCTCCACCCCAAGGATGCTCCTCCGAGCCCTGCTCGGGCTCCAGCTGGCTCTGAGATGCTCTTGGCCCAAAAACTGCTCATGAGCCAGGCAAAAATCATGGTTTCTTCATTGAAACGCAGCGCATCGGCTCACCAAGAGAAGCTCGGTGAGGCTGTTGATTTTAACATTGTCAACAAGAAGAAATGCACCAATTCTATGTTCAACTTGTTTTCCGCAGGCATTTGATTTTATGACAGCAGGGTTAAGACTCTAGAGTTTGGGGAGGTTGAAACTATACACTTTCCTATGAGACAAAAACATTTTTTAAACTTTTTTGGTTGGCAGAGATTTTGAGCCATGATTTCATTTCAAACTGATCTAAAAATAAAATCTAAAAGTCCTTTTTTTTTCGCTACCAGCAAGGAAAGGATACCTCATCTGATGAGACAAGAGGCAGGAAGGGGAGTTATTGTAAATTGCTGCTCACCACCCCCGGGTCACGGCCACATCGCCCCTGTCCCCCCTCTCACACCCCGTGCCGGGACACCCCAGGGACGTGGGCATCACCCTGGCCATCTCTCAGCACATGCCCCACTTTCCTCGGCACTCCGCATCCACAAATCAGGATGCGTGTCATTCCTCTCAGGCCCTTCCTACAGAATATTTATGGTGCATCCACATCCTGAAAAATCTGAAGTTCAAAACAACAGATTAATTTGCTCTTCAGTTCTAGGGGGAAGGCAGATCCCTCACGGAAGGGCATCACGAATTCTAATTACTCAGTGCAGGCAGAAAATGGATCTTTTAGATTAAAATGTTCTCCCGCTGTCGCTGCCCTGCTTTTTTCTCTCCTGCACAAAATTAAGCTCTGACTACATCATCTCTACAGCCTGGGGAAGGCAAAAGCATCCATGATCTACTTAAATTTGGTGGCAGAAGAAAAGCCCACCCCCAGCACTGGCAGGGACCACTGGCCCTTGACTTAGGGCTGGTCCTTGCGCAGGAGAGCATCTCCCAGCTTGACTTCTGTGCTGGTGCCACCACCTAGAAGCCTGCAGTGGCCCAAGAACACTGGTGGACAAACCCAAGGTCTCTGGTGGACCCAGTGACCACCACTCTCCTCGTCCTCCTTGGCCATGCAGTGTCACCACGGAGCAGCCCAACATCTCTGCCCCCAAGGTGCCTAGGTCTGTGGGTGAGCTCCCTGTCTTGACCTGTCCCACAATGATCACTCCCCACTTCTCACTTTACAACAGCTGCTAAAAAAAAACCCATTTGCCTACGATTTACTTCAATACTTTGAAATATTACAACTTTTTTTTGCCTTCATCAAAGGCACCGTGACCATCAGCACGGTTAGGATCATTGTCAAGGGCACTGAGCAACGCAGCCAGCTCTGGAGACACCAACAAAAGGAGGATCTCAGGTCCTCTGGAAATCAACCCGTCACTCACAGTTTGTTCTGCAACTCTTTCCTAGTTTCCATCACATCCCATTTCCAAATTAAACATTCTGGCATCTCCCAACGAACCTGTATAGCAAGGACACCACAGCCAGACCTGGAGGTGGCCAAGGCGGTTGGCAAAAGGTGACCAAGGGCGCAGCTCCAAGTGCTGCAACCCCATCTCGTCCTCTCAGCTGCATCTGATGTGCTTCCCCCTAAAAAAAGAGTGCAGCATCCCCATCCTCTACAACATTTCCCCCCAATATTGGCAAGGTTCAATTGCACTGAAATAACTGATTTCAGAGAAATACTAGCAAACCTGGCACAGAGAGGATAAGAAGTAGCTTCCAGCCCAAGGTGTTCCTACCCTCCTGCTGTGGGCAAAGCAGCCAAGAGGAAACAAACTTCTGGGTTTTAGCAGTGGGCCATGAACACACAGACACCAAGGTCCTTCAAAATACACTTATTCCTAAATTCTTTGGCCTGGGCTTGTTTTCAAGATTATTTTTGATGCCTAAAGTTGGAGATCGGGCACAAGTGTCTGTGGGCAAAACTGCCTCCTTCCTTGTCTCGCTGGTGTCATGCAGGACAGAGCACTTGAGTGCCAGCTCCAGTCTGCAGAGAAGCTTAAATGGAGCAGAGCCCAGCAGGATCTTCCAAGAAGCTTTTCTGCCAACACTGAGGCCATTGCCTAAAGCTTCAGCTACGCAAACACCTTCCTGCATCTTACCTGGGGTGGCCTCCCCATGGAGAGGCTGGTAGCCCCAGCAGTGTTGGCACCTTCAGTGGTATCTGCCAGCCTGCAACTGGCACCTCTCCATGATGGAGAGAGCACACGGCAGCTGTTGGGCCCATTCAACCTGGAGGAGGTGGCGGGGAGAAGGAGAAGACAGTGTCCTCTTTGCCCCACCACCTCCTCCAGGCCACCTCGCTGAGGTCCTCGGCATTTCTGAAGAACATCTCCAAGTGGTGCACCAGCAAGGCAGCTCTGGCCCATTGCTCATCCAGCCCCTGGAGGAGAAATGTCTTAGGGAAGCAGGTCTAGACGACCTGTGCAAGAGAGGCTGTGTTCAAAACACACACCATATACTGTGTTCACGTTACTGAAGGTGAACAGGTCGATGTTCTGTGAGTAGGAGGCAGTGAGACTGACAGTGTCCTTCCCAGGATGGGAAGCGTGCTCCTTCCCCCACCATGGACGGGCCCCAATATAGCTCTGTCTCCGCCACAGCTGACCTTGCCACAGATGTTTCCCACCACACCAGCAGAACCATGCTCCATCCCTTTGCCTTCATCAACGCCTTGGACACCCTAGGCCCAGGCTGCCAAGGCCAGCAGGTGAGGATCTGAAGACTTCAGCTGGAGCCAACATATTCTGGAAGCTCAGGAGAGGGCACAGCAGCCAGGTGTGATGCTGAGGAGATGGGCTGCCATCACTGGAGCCTGGCATGGCCCTGATGCCACATGCCACACCACTTCCCTGCAGGATCCTATTTCTGCGAGTCAGGGAGCAGAGTTCGCCATCCATCTGGACAGCAACTAAGCCAGACACTGGTCTAGCATAGGTTGGTGGATATAGGATAAAAGTAGTAATTACATCAGAAGTGGTGTTTGGACAAAAAAAGACGAGTATGGGATCATCTGCTCCATAACCCCTGGCACAGCATCACACAGATACAGGAAAACAATCCCTCCTCGAAAAGCAAAGATGCAGAGCAGAAGAGACCTGAGGTCAATGACAGAAGACTCCACCCCGGAGATGGAGATGAAGAGTTCGTTTTCAGTTTTCCGTACGAGCTGCTTTCCCTCTCGGAGTCTCAGCCTCCCACCTCTCCAACGGGTAAAAACGTTCAGACTTACTCAGTGAGCAGTTGTGGGTCTGAGGGATGGAACAGGCTGCAGCACAGTGAGCCACACAACCTTCTAAACACCTTTCCCACCCTGCCACTCTACAGCAAGGACAGACTGACCAAGCAGCCCCTTGGGCGGGCAGGTAGCAGTGACAGGTTATCAGCATCATCTCATCACAAAATCACAAAATTGTCAGAGCTGGAAGGGACTAAAGCAGAGTCACCCAGCGGAGGTCACACAGGAACGTGTCCAGGCGGGGTTTGAAAGTCTCCAGAAAATGAGACTCCACAAGCTCACTGGGCAGTCTGTGCCAGGGCTCCAGCACCCTCACAGTAGAGAAGTTCTTCCTCATACTTAAAATGAAACTTCCTGTGTTCCAGCTTGCACCTGTTGCCCCTTGTCCTGTCATTGGGCACTACTGAAAAGAGTTCGGCTCCATCCTCCCTGCACCGATCCCATAGATGTTTATAGACATTGATAAGGTCTCCTCTCAGGCTTCTCTTCTCCAGGCTAAAGAGCCCCAGCTCTCTCAACCTCTCTCAATTCCCAGTGATGGTGTGGAGCTGCACATGAGGAGGTGACACGGGCACCACGCTGCCCTGCAGCATCTCACAACCGTCCACGCCACCAAGTCAGAGGTCCTTCAGGGGCCAAGCAGCTGAAGCACTCTGGTTGCCTCTGCACAGCATCGGCACTGAAATAGGGGGGTGTTGAGACCACTTAGTTCTCCTGCCCTGAGAAAAGGGCTCAGCCTGCAGCCCTAGCTCCCTGCAAAGCCCCGGCAAGCCCGAGTGCCGTCACTGCTGCTCTCAGGAAGTTGCCCATGCCACCAGAACCACACGCTCCTGGGGATCCCTAGTATGTGACCAGCACATCCAACTGGAAACACCCAATGTCACACCAGACAAACCCATTCAGAGAGCAGCTGGGGACCATGTAGCCAGACAGCAAAGGCACCCAAGGGACGGGGGAGCACCAGCACTCCGGCTGGC